GGGCACACATTTTGACGATTGGAATGTAAACAAGTGAGAAGTTGTGATAGGGCGACAATGGGATAAGAGGCTAAAGAGTAGATAGATAGACCAGGACAGAAAGAGGAGTGATAGTGTAACCGTTTCCAGCAGAACGTTCGTGGAAGGATTAACTTCATTTATCTCTTTGACGAGTTCGTAGCTTGTTCGTCGAATGGCAAAACTCACTGATGATGCCGGCGAAACGGTTGAGAATGTACCAAGTCCACTGTCTGATGCTGGAAATCATGACAACTACTATGGCAAACGACTTCGGATTAGGTGCGTTCTACTAAGTCGCCCTGACAACAAGACCAAGTTGCGACAACGAGGTAAATCCATGTCAATAATGCTCCAGTAAGGCCAATCGACGACACCGTCGTCTTATGGTGGGATCAACCTTAGAATCTCTTCACCAAACACTTCCACTCGAAATGGAAGTGAGCTCAAAAATGATGCTATCGCCATAGGTTGTATAGACCTGGTTGTTTATAATCACAACGATTTCGAAACACGTACCCAGTACATTTGGATACAAAGAATAACGGGGATTTGATGAACCTCCAGAGAAAATATTGTTGGGTTGACTTTCATTTCATTTAAACATGCATGAAGAAGAGATTCACACATCGATCCTACCAGAAGACGATGTTTGATCGCACTAAAATGACCTTTGGGTTGGCACAGTCCTCGAGGCATCCAACCTCGTGTCGAGTGCTCAGCATACGATGGGCACCGAGTCTCCTGTCGACAAACCCCAAGTCAAGAATTATGTTGTTGTACCTTTCGTTTCGTTTTAGAGCTGGGTGGGAGGGATTCGTAAGTTGGTCCAAGTGGAAGTCAGAGGGCACTGCCACATAAATTTATCAAGATATTCTTTGAAACCACTTTTCTACATACCTAAACCAAGAAGACTATCCCCACCCATCTCGCTTCTTATAAACTCTGACAACAAAATGCGAAACAAAATAGGCATAGATAGATATTGAATGGTTTGGCTCATTATCTTTCATATATATAAATAAATAAATAAATAAATATGTGTGTGTGTGTGGGTGTGCCTTAAAACGGCTAATGTCGAAGTTACCATCAAGGTTTAATGACCCAAGAAAAAACATGGACCATCGTTGAATATGTCCGTGATCAACTATGTTTGGGATAATGAGATGTAAGCTTGCAAGTGTGTATGTAATTCATGGTTGCGAAACCATCGGTCCTAACCTCTGAATCTGACGCCATTAACGAATAACCATCCAAGGAAAGGCATGACTGGGGGTGCGTAATCTCGTACGTCTGGTTTGGTTGATGAGCTTAATCTAAGATAGAAGTGTGTTAACCTCGTTGTCGCAACATGGTCTTGTTGTCAGGGTGATTATGTAGAACGCACCAAATCCGAAGTCGTCTGCCATAGTGGTTGTCATGATTCCCAGCATCTAACAGTGGACTTGATAAATGCTCAAACGTTTCGCCGGCATTCTCCGCTACGAACTCGTCAAAGAGACAAGTGAAGTCAGGTGTGATGAGGCCATACTAGCTTTCCCACAAAAGGGTACACATTTTGGCGAGTGGAATGTAAACAAGTGAAAAGTTGTGATAGGGCGGCGGTGGGATAAGAG